AGCACTGAGGTACAACCGCATATGCTCCAACCCCTCAGACAGAGACCTACACCTACAAGACCTTCAACAAGCATTCTGTAAACTGCGATACCCACACGAGGAAGTGAGGAGACAGATTGACAGAGCCAGACGTGTACCCAGAAGCCTCCTGCTACGGGACAAGCCCAAGAAAGAAACCAACAGAACACCACTGGCCATCACCTATAGTCCCCAGCTAAAACCTCTCCAACGCATCATTAGTGATCTTCAGCCCATCCTGGACAATGATCCCTCGCTCTCACAGGCCTTGGGAGGTAGGCCGGTCCTTGCCCACAGACAACCCGCCAACCTGAAGCATATTCTCACCAGCAACTACACACCGCACCATAATAACTCGAACTCAGGAACCAATCCTTGCAACAAACCTCGGTGCCAACTCTGCCCACATATATACACCAGCAACACCATCACAGGACCTAACCAGATCAGCCATACTGTCACTGGTACATTCTCCTGCACATCCACCAACGTAATATATGCCATCATGTGCCAACAATGCCCCACTGCTATATACATCGGCCAAACAGGACAGTCCCTACGTAAAAGAATCAATGGACACAAATCTGATATTAGGAATGGCAACATACAAAAACCTGTAGGGGAACACTTCAATCTTCCTGGACACACAATTGCAGATCTAAAAGTAGCTATCCTGCAGCAAAAAAACTTCAGGACCAGACTTCAAAGAGAAACTGCTGAGCTACAGTTCATCTTTAAGTTTGACACAATCAACTCTGGATTAAACAAAGACTGTGAATGGCTTGCTAACTACAAAAGCAGCTTCTATTCTCTTGGAATTCACACCTCCAGATCAGCTGCTAGAAGTGGGCCTCATCCTCCTTGATTGGATCCACCTGGTCATCTCCAGCCTGATCCTGGCCTGCATATTTATTCCTGCCTCTGGAAATTTCCACTACATGCATCTGACGAAGTGGGTCTTTGCCCACGAAAGCTTATGCTCCTACACTTCAGTTAGTCTATAAGGTGCCACAGGACTCCTCATCGCTTTTGCAGATTCAGACTAACACGGCTACCCCTCTGATACTTAACACACTCTGTAATCAATACTCGCTATAGCATGTATTCCACTTGCATAATAAATTAATTTCACAGCATGGTATCTCTTATGTTGGGCATAAGCTGTCCCTTGAAAATGAATTCTGCAGAAGATGCATCTCTGCAATAGCAAAGCAATCCTGTGTATTATTTTCAACTATTTCTTTAATTACTTGCTGAAATGCAATTATTAAGAATTCTATCTATTGGAAATTGTAAATAGGAAAAATCTCCTGTTTTAAGGAGATTTTTAAAAGCTCATTACTTCTTTAAAAGCTCATCTCTTTAAAAGCCCATTACTTCTTCCTGCAATAACTCCAGGCTTTGTGCCTATACCTTTCAAACCCTGAGCTGCTCTTATTTATGGCTGAAAGTTGTTGTAGAATGATGGTTATTCCAGATGACCTTGAACACTAATACATCCTGAGCCATTTGATACTTCCAAGCTGCAACAGAATAAAGGAGGTGATGGATTTAGTGGCTAAATCACTGCTTGAAGGGACTGCTCCATTTCAAAGTAGTCATCCTTACACTGATGTCATCAAGCATCTTAGCAAGACCTCTGGTTGAATATAGTATTTGAGGATGTTAAAAGATTATTTACACAGATTTGTAGCACATCAGGGTGCATTAATCCCAGTTATTTCCCTAAATGGTACTTAAGATGTCATTGGAACTGAAATAAAGGCAATTGTCACTGACTGGAGAGGTTTCTTGACAATGCAATTTGTCTTCTAAGCATCTGTTTTGTATCTGTCATACAAAAAGAACCTCATCATAGCTCGAAAGGAGCTTGTTTGACATTGCTGTATTTTTATTGGCCTCAAATTTAACTATAACAATATTAGACCAATTGATTTTTTGATACACTCAGAAAAAAGTTTAGTTTATGTTAGAGTGAAGTTTAGTTTATGTTAGAGTGAAGAGAGTTCAGAAAAACACATGTAGCACGTTCACTGTTCAATTAAAAAATAAAAAATCTATTGGTTCTTGAACTTAGGACAAATTTAATTAACTTCAATAGATAAATCTTCAGTTTTACACATGCTCTCTCTCACTGGGCTTACTAATAGAAGACATAGTGCTCTCACATCCAAAGCAAAGAAGTAATGATTTTAACCTTCCATTTTAAGAGAAACAGTGAACATGTGCAGCTGTCAACCCAAATTCTCCCCTGGATATAGGTTGCTATGTCAAACGTCACAGCACAGAGTGACCCTAAGACTGATGCAGCTGGTTATGGAAGGATCCCTCTGGTGTAGGGGACTCATCCAGTATAATAGCCGGCAAAATGACTACCATGCCATTTCTCATCATGCAGCTTGCATGGGAGTTGTGGCCAAAGACAGGGAGCATGGCTGAAGCTTTCCTGCTTTCTGGTACTCCCCAGCTGCTCTAATGGGCCTTTGGTGGGGATTAATAGCTGATAACAATGTACACCTGAGGATTGGGCCAGAACTCAGCTGGCCCAAAGTATGGGGTGGAAAAGGTAACTTAAAACCCTCCTGAGGTGTGTTATGCCATTTTGTTTTCTGGTGTTGAACATGCTTTGGGCTCTTTTTTTATCTTGTTTGGGCTTAAAACTAAACTCAGAAAAGGGCTCCTGTAAAAGTTGATAGAACTTGACAGTTGTCTTTGTAGTAATGATCCTGTAGTGATTTACAGAGTTTGTACAATGTTTGTTGTCTCTAATCTAGAATAAATATGATTCGAGTCTTTCTCTGATTCACTTGCTGTTCTTGTACAAGACGGCCCCATTCACAAGAAGTTCATGCTACACTGATCCCCTTGTAAATTCTAATTATTAGATTATTTCATCGAACAGTTCCAGCATGACTGCCATCTTCCATTAGCGGTAGGTTCACATTGTGGCTAAATGTGACGTTGCATAATTCTCATCAGAGCCCAGTTTGCTTAATTTTCAATATCTAATTAGAGAATGGCAGTGAGTTTAGAACTTGCCCAGGTTTGAGGATTTCTTTCAAAGACCTCCTAGTTAAAACTAGTCCCTAATTGGGACCATCCCACCCCTAGTTTATGGCTACTATTACTTGACCCAGGAAATAATGAAGATCAGTGTGACCTGATCTAAAGATTCACTGAACGAAGTGTGGGAGGAACCAGTAATGTTCTGGAGAACCCAGAGATGACCATAGCAGAGAAACCTTATATGAGCCTAAAAGCCCCTCTGTAACAACTGGCAAGGAGGTTACAAGAATATTCTAGGGCTGTCAAGTGATTAATTGCATGTGACTCCCCTTTGAAATGCCATGGTGGAGTTTCAACGGGGCAGCCCTGCATGGAGCCGAGGATCAGCTGACCCCGGGCTCCGGGCTCTATGCAACGCTGAGCCTTGGAAGCGCTGCAGTGGCGTTTCCAAGGGGCAGCACATTAGGAGCCTGGGATCAGCTGAGGACTTCAGCTGATCCCCAGCTCCGCTCTTGCAAAATCCCTTTGAAGCGCCATAACAGCACTTCAAAGGGGCTTTGCAACGTGAAGCCTCTTTGAAGTGCCATTTTGGTGCTTTAAAGGGGCAGCGCATAAGGAGCCTGGGATCAGCTGGAGTCCTCAGCTAATCACCGGCTCCGTGTTGCAAAGCCCTTTCAAAGTGCCGCTTTGGCGCTTCAAAGGGGCTTTGCAACAGCAGAGCCGGGGATTGGTTGGGGACTCCAGCTGATCCCAGGCTCCTAATTCACTGCCTCTTTAAAGCACTGGAGCGGCACTTTGCGTTAATCCTGTCCTGCATTAATCGCAGGTGATAATGCAGGTCAAATGACAACCCTAGAATATACTGTTCCTAGTACATATGTTTCAGTTCATCCTAGAACACTGTATGAGATTTTAAATGAAAGCCAGGATCACACTGATCATTAATAGCATAGTGACATAGGACTCCTCTAGTTTAGAGAGATTAGCCTACTTAACTCTACAGAGTGTGTTATGATATTGTTTTATACATAACCTCTTGGTTTCCATAACCCTTACTCACTATCCCTTGAATCTTTGATAATCGTTGTTCATTATTCACTATCTATCTATCTATCTATCTATCTATCTATCTATCTATCTATCTATCTATCTATCAGTGCTGTGATATGATACTAGGAGCTGAACCTGAGTTAAATCATACAAACTGGCATGTACATTCTTTCTGTAAGAGAACCAGGCCTACTATTTCTGTCAGTGAATTTCAGCAGATAAAAGGCTGGACACTACAGGAGTATGCTTTAACAGGGTTCAGGGCCTTGGGTGTGCCTGTTATTACCCTTCAAGGCAAAGAAAGGGCTGACATAGCCCAGAGGAGAGTGCTTGAGTTGAGCATATGCAAGTCTCCTATTTGCTGGAGGCAAGGGAGTAACAAGCTGAGCCTCAGTATCCGAAGCACTGCCACACCTTGATTTTCCAAATAATGCTTCCCTGCTGTCATTTTGGTCTCTTAGAAAGTGAAATTGATGTGTAAATCGAGGGGCATGAGATAATGTGAGACATAACATTTTCAACATTGTTAGATACTTTTTTTTCCATTCACCCACAGCTAATCCTCTGCGAATGGTACATAAATGTCAGTCATAGCATCACTAAACACACAGCAAAGAGGAACAGCACATTTGGCATCTGCTACCACTGGATAGCTCTGGCACTGCATGACATGACATCCGTCAGTGACAGATTTCTTCTTCAGCTGCCCCAGACATGGCTGATGATGCTCTCCTAAATTACAGAATGCTTCTTTGATGAGAGCTTGGGTAACTGTAATGCTATATTGTGTAACAAAAATAATATTAATATTATATTCACTATTGAATGATGTTTGAGGTATGGGGAGGTAAAGATAAGTCAGTCACTCCATTATTAGGTCATTCCCTGCCAGACAGTATCCCCCCCCAAATTCAAAGAGCAAATCGTGCAGTTCCAAGCTAAATGCCTTTTATTGTAGACTGACAAACAATGAACAAGCACACGTAAAGTTTCTGTGAGAGGAAAAACAGAGTCTCTGCCACCTGGCAAGATCCTCTTGCCACAACTCCTTCAATAGGCTTGCAAAGACTCCTCCCATTTAATGAGGCAACACAAAGAAAAGAGAATCCTATCACGGTGTCACATCTACCCTGAAGGTCTACTTCTTCCACACATCCTATAAGCAATCAGCTGACAAAGTCCTCTACTCATTTATTCAAATCATGTATCCTATGAATGGATTCTTTTATGCTGAGGGAAGGCGTTGACTACAGTGGCATGAATTCAATAGAAATTAAGCTGGGAGAGGTTGAGAAGCTAATGGAAGCCATGCATTCTGTGCACATAGATGGGAGAAAGGCAAGATTGCAGCCTATCAGTGCAAGTGAAGGAAGGGCTTGAGAAATGAAAACAGAAAAAAGTGGCCAAAACTGAGCAGAACTGGTCAAAAAATCATCCTATTTTGCCTGTCAAAAATTGGATTTTTCAACACAACACTTCAAAATTATATTAAAAACTCAGTTCAAAACTAAATGAAGTTTTCATTGCATTTCATTTCAAATGTTCCCATTCAAAAATTATGTCAAATGAAATTCCCACACCCTCTAAAAATATCATTTTTAAAAAATAATCCATATTTCATCAGGAACATTTTTGTTTGAAAAATGTGAACGGCTCTAAAAGTCAGAAAAGCAGCACTCTAGAGGTAGGAGAGGGAAGAAGGCAAATGAAAAAAAGGTGAGTGAGGGTGAAAACTTTGAAACTCTGCCACTTGAACTGTCAGCTGGAACTCTTGCATCAGGGAGATAAGTGCATGATGGGAAAGCAAAAAATAAATATTGGAAGATACTTAGGGCTAGATTCTCAAATGCTGAAAATCAATATGGGCCCACTGAAGTCAGCTACATCCTACTGCTCTACACCAGCTAAAGCCCTAGTCCTTAGGATTTAACCACATTAACACAGCATAAATTGTAGTCACAAAATGCTGATGAGTGCTAATTAAGCATGGTTCAATTACATTTGTGTCTGAGTGATTCATTTACTTATTTCCAATTTCCTTTTGCTTTAGTTGTTCCTCAAAGAAGTCATTACATGCTACAGTCAAAGCCGCAACCAGAACAACAAATTCATTAAAATCCACTTCATTGTCTTTATTGGTATCCAGATCTTTCATGATTTTATCAACTAGCTGGGGATCCTTTTGGCACTAGAGAGAAAAAAAGAAAATTAATTAAAAAAAGCCAGATAGGTTGACCTGCAGTTTGATGTTTCTTAATGTAGTTAGGCTTGGCAAAATTCCTTTATTTTTTGTTTGACTAATTTCCATTTATTTTAAAGCATTTTGAATTTGTATCTATTTACAGTTTCACAATTGTGCAGAATTAAGGTTTTTAACCATTTTGTTCTTTGTTTATCAATACAAATTTTTACAGGTGTGGGAAACTATGGAGAGGGTCAGATAAAAATTATTGAATGATAGAAAATGCTGAAAGCTTTATAACAGTTAAAACACAAATTATCAACATCACATGTCAAAATATATCAGGGAAATATCCTGAAATCAAACTCTTATGAGTTCTCAAACAGCATTTTTCTTACTTAGCTTATTATCAATGGAAAAATATTTTTTCTTTGTTTTGTTGTGGTGAAACTGATGATTGTTAACATTTATTGGTGAAAATATAATCCTTTCAAGTCTCAATATAGTCTGCCTGAACATTATTTTCTCACAAGTTCAAAATGTTTTTCGTTTTTTTGAAGAGACATATGTTGCTGCTTTAGATCCACAAGCCTTACAAGAATTTCTTTTTCATATGTACTGTATCTTTAACTAGTCCAAATGTCTCAGGTTTGTACTTAGTTTAACAAGAAATGACTTAACAATGATGGACATCTTCAATGTATTGTTCTGTTATATCATAGTACAATCCAGTAATGTGCTAAAAGTTTAAGTAATATCAGTTATTTCAATCTGTTGTAAAAATGAAAAATAAAAGAGCTGTGTGAAATTTGCAATTAAGTGACAATATATCAATATTGACAGTGTTAAAAGCATAAGACCAGATTTTCAAAAAGGCTTGGCAACAAATATGCATTTAAATGAAGCAACCAGACTTGGGGAGCTATGAGTAAAAATCTGGTCCATGATGTCTATATTAAAATATCAACTACTATATATCAATGTTGGTTGGGGATTTTTGTTCTTTTGTAAAAAAAAATGCTATTTATAATTTCAAGCGGTTATTTATATAGGGCCAGACACTGTCTTCTTTTGTCATAGTTGGTAGAACCTCACTTAACAGGTATGTATCCTACTCAGCATGAGTAAGGGCAGCATAATCTTCCCATAATAATAAATCAATAGGCAGGATTAAAAAAAAAACCCATTCCAAGACATTTCACAAATTGATTCAAAATAATTCTGCTATTGATATTAAAGACCACAAAATTGTTAGGGTACCTAAAACACAGGAAATCAATTATGCATCAGATTCCATAAGAATTTCAGTTTGAATAATTTCAGAAAATAATATATGTGCATAAATACATTCAAATCAGCGTTGACTCTGAGAACTCTTCTCAGCCATATTTCTGTTCAGTACAGATAGGGAGCTATCTATAGCTAGAACACATGGATTGCTAATAAACCTATGCACAAATGTGTACCTCATAACTGTAAGCCTCAAGAAGCCCTCAAACAGCATGAAACATTCTCAGTGCTGATCACAATCAATCTGTATATGTTTGAGACTGCACGCTCATTTCCATTCACTACACTTAAAACTTTCTCTTCCTGAGTTCTTTATACCTGTATTGTATCCCACTTTTGCTGAGGGTCGGTCTACACTCAGTTTCAACTAAATTGAGTTCACTAAATCATTTTTCTCTATTTCTAGACTGCATTTTATCACTGATGTTCAAACACTCTGCCAAATAAATCAGTGAAATACATGGTTTTCATCATTTGTGACTGGTGGTTCAAAGCAAAGGTGCATGTTTTAACATACTTGACAAAGAAGACATTTGATATTAGCACTTTCTCTTTGGCTCCACAAACACAGTTTCATTTGATTGTATAATTCAGATGCAGTCACAGCATGGACTTCATTGTATGAGGAAACGCTATTCCAGAATCGTTCAACAGCTATTTATTTTACCCACTAAATCTTAAAATAAAACAATGCAGAAACAGTCTCTTACTGAAAGGAAGTCAGTGAGTTCACTGGTAAGGAGCAGTTTCAGTTCTCCTTTATTCAGTTTGTATTTGTCCCCTTCTTTGCCTGAGTAATGGTGAAAAATCTTGATCAAGATGTCCATAGCATTCTCCAGCTGTGTAGGCATATTGTGGTGTGAAACAGCTCTAGGACAGAAAACAAAGATCATTGGTACTGCACATGAATTATATAGAACCCAAGCACATGAGGAGATAGAAAGCTGTCTGGAGCAGCTGTAAAACAGAACCCGTCATAAATACTGAAAAAGTGTATTCATTTACCCCATGCAGTCAAATGGTGGTTTACATCACTAGACTATGGTACAATTAAAGTAAAACATTGTACTGCAGATTAGCTCTGGAAAATAAATGTGAAGGGTTACATGAAAGCTTTACTGGTCAAGACCAACAGGAAACCATTTGTACAGCAAGTTGAAGCCACAGGTATAAAGAAAGCATATTATACCAGTACATAATTTCCTACCTGTTCAGCCAAAACAGTATTGTCAACTAGTAGTACTAGATAAGTCATACACACATTTATACTGAAGGCTTGTTCCCTAGCACACCAATTTCCCTGAGGCTCAGAGAGAAATCATTAACTATAGCAGATTCAAATGCTGGAGCATTAGCTTTCACTTGATTGGGTCCTATTGTTTTAGGGATTTTTTTAAGTCACCTGTAATGAAGTCATCTCAAGGGGCCTTCACAGAGCATTCAGTAGGGAGAAGAGCAATCCCTTCATTAAAAACAGGAAAGTGTGGAAATACAATTAGTTGCTAGGAAGCTGAGGACTGGGAAAATGACTAAAAATAGAGTTTAGTGAAATGGAAACATTACTTTGCATAAACCAAGGGTGAACTATTACAAAGTGGTAATAAGATAAACATGTCAGGAAAATCACTAGCAATATCATACAATAAAAAGTGAGAATTAACAATTTTACAAACTAGGTGAAATGTTACCAAGAAAATATACACTTGACACACTCTAGCCAATGGTCACCTAATTTCTAAAACACATAGACTCATAGACTTTAAGGTCAGAAGGGACCATTATGATCATCTAGTCTGACCCCCTGCACAGTGCAGGCCACAAAATCTCACTCACCCCTCCTAGAATAATCCTCTCACCTATTTCTCAGATATTGAAGCCTTCAAATACTTTGAAGACCCCAAGATGCAGAGAATCCTCTAGCTGTGATCTGTACCCCATGCTACAGAGGAAGGCGAAAAACCTCCAGGGCCTCTGCCAATCTACCCTGGAGGAAAATTCCTTCCCGACCCCAAATATGGCGATCAGCTAAACCCTGAGCATGTGGGCAAGACTCACCAGCACCCAGAAAGTTCCCTATAGCAACTCCTATCATCCCTCCATTGACCTATTTCCAACTGGAAATGAATGGTCAATTAGTTACCAAGATCATGTTATTTCATCCAACCATCCCCTTATCATAGAATCAGAACTGGAAGAGACCTCAGAAGGTCGTCAAGTCCAGCCCTCCGCTCTAGGCAGGACCAATCCCATCTAAATCAACCCGGCCAGGGCTTTGTCAAGCCGAGACTTAAACACCTCTAGGGATGGAGACTCCACTACTTCCCTAGGTAACCCATTCCAATGCTTCACTACCCTCCTAGTAAAATAGTTTTTCCTAATATCCAATCTGGCCCTCTCCCACCACAACTTGAGACCATTGCTCCTTGTTCTGCCATCTGTCACTACTGAGAAACACAGTATTCCAAATGGGGTCTCACCAATGCCTTGTATAATGGCACTAACACTTCCTTATCCCTACTGGAAATACCTCACCTAATACATCCCAAGATTGTATTAGCCTTTTTCACGGCCATGTCACAATGGTGGCTCATAGTCATTCTATAATCAACCAGTACTCCAAGGTCCTTCTCCTCCTCTGTTAATTCCAACTGATGTGTCCCTAGCTTATAACTAAAATTCTTGTTATTAATCCCTAAATGCATAACCTTACACTTCTCACTATTAAATTTCATCCTATTGCTATCACTCCAATTTACAAGATCATCCAGATCTTCCTGTATGATATCCCGATCCTTTTCTGGACACACATCTGTCTACTAAACGGATTGAATGCTTTATCAATATCTAGACACAGAGATATAAGCATGCTTTTCTGAAATGATCATAAAGAAAAAGATGTATCTCTGATTTCCATCGCTATTTATTTTACTCTGTTTAATACTTTTTTCACTATGAGCTTATCACACACACAAAAATCACTGAAAACAACAGGAGAGTTGTAAATGGTGCATGCAAAATATATATTCTCTTATTGTTTGACCTTTTAAAAATGGGCCCACGTGCAGGCCTGGAGATTAGAAAACAGTCATCTCAAAATAACTCCTTTCAAACCAAACTATAATCTAATCTAATCTAATCTAATCTGTGTGCATTTCTAAAACAGCAAACCTTAATATTTAGGCACTTGGGGCAGATTTGTAAAGCTATTTAGGCACAGCAAGGTGCAAATACGTACCTAGTAAGATTTCTAAAATTGCCTAGGACCCATATACTCAAATGTATTTAGGTGCCTCACTCTTACTGAAATCCCTCTAGACACACAGCTGAATCTTTAGGAATCTAACTCTTTGTGAATCAGGCCTTTGCTTTAAAAAGTCCTCGTCATGAGCTCAGCAGAAAACCAGATAGATGTGTCCTGCATCTGCTCTGCAGGTCCCTAAAAAGAAAAGTAAAATTAAGAGTCAAGGGCCCTCCAGGGAGAATCTCTTGCTATCAGCCCTTAGAGTTTGAGAACATGTTTTATCTCCCAATATTCACCTTCACCCTAATACCCAGTGAATATTCTCTCCCTGTGCTAATCCTTTTCCTTTCTTGCTCACCATACCTATCAATGAAGCCAAACACACTGAGGAGCTCCAAATGGTACCAATGCATCAGTTTATTTACTTGGGAACTTGCCATGAATGCATCATCACTGAGCTCCTCTCTCTGGTCTGGCTACCTGAAGAGTCCAGAGCCCACTTCAGAGCCTCTGTCTTTCACAGGACTAGCACTGGGTGCCTGAGAATTGCCTTATCCTCTGTGATCAGGACATCCCATGACAGCTACTTTCTACTGGATCCATGACATTGCGATTCTAGGAGGCACTTAATGTGTTGGGCTCTCACCCCGTACTATACCCACCCATGGAATGCAACAAGCGCTCCCCTACTTGGCATCATCCATTTGCTCTCCCTTTGGCGGTGGATAACACCCAGAAGGTTCTACTGAGAGGCAGTCTAATACTCTAGTGACATAGCCTTTAGTCCTGCCTTGAGGGCAGGGGACAGGATTCGATGATCTCTCAAGGTCTCTCCCAGTTCTAGTATTCTATGATTCTATGATACATCTGGAGCATTCCATTTACTTACCACTGTTGAGATGGTGCATAACAAGTATCATCACAAGCAGCTGGGCCATTCAGGGTTGTATCTTCTTGTGATCACTAATACCTACATAATTGCTCAGAAATGTTTATTAATCAGATTAATTAAAACATCTGAATAAGATGATTAAATAAACAGCAGCAAAGACCCTCTAGCCTGCATCCTCAAATGAACAGTACTGAAAACTGTGGAATATCCACAATCATATATACAATTCAGCATACATCTCTCTAAACCACATCTAGCTACCAAGTAGTGTAAATACAATTAGCTATGCAGAGAAAGCAATGGGTATAACTTTCAGATGAGAGATATAAACTTTCAGTGCCCTCTTCCTCAGGACACAAGAAAGTTGTATCTTTATGGCATAAGCACAATAATTTATACAATGATATAATCTGCATAGCCCCTTCCAGTACTCTGACTACTTCACTTTAGCTAATTGTCTAAGAAATGCTATTCTGTGGGGCTGGCTAATATTTGTGTCACAAGAAATTGTCATGATTTCACTTGGCTCTTCTGTTAGAGGAACCCAGGAACACTCTCTTTCTACATGACTTCAAAGAACATGGAGAATGCTCGGCAGATTAGGATCAGGCCCTACTACAGCAGCCACTCTCGAACTTTTCAGGCTACTGTTCCCCGCTCAGGAGCGTGATTTGTCTTCTGCACACCCAAGTTTCACCTCACTTAAAAATTACCTGCTTACAAAATCAGACATCAAAATACAGAAGTGTCACGGCACACTATTACTGAAACATTGCTGACTTTCTCATGTTTACCATATAATTATAAAATATATCAATGGGAATATAAATATTGTACTTACATTTCAGTGGATTGTATACAGAGCAGAATAAACAAGTCATTGAAATTGTACTTTGTACTGACTTTGCTAGTGCTTTTTATGCAGCCTGTTGTAAAAGTAGGCAAGAAGCTAGGAATGAGTTGATATAACCCCTGGATGACCTCTGTGTACTTGCAGGGGTATGTGTACCCCTGATTGAAAACCAGTACCATACAAAAATAGGTAGTTACCCCAAATTAATAGAAATCATTGGATTACTTTTACCTTCCTTTCAAGCTGTGTTACCTGCTCTGTTTTAATATAGGCTGTACTGCAGTGGTCCCCAACCTTTCGTGGCTGCCGGGCGCCGGGGGTGGAGCCACTCACACGGGGATAGGGGCCGCCCACATGCCCTGAGCCCAGGGCTGGCACTGCGCATGTGCCGCGCGCCGGGGGCAGGGGCTGCCCACGCGCTCCGAGCCCGGGGCCGGCGCCACACGTGCCGCACGCCGGGGGTGGGGCCAGCCCAGATGTTTCGGCAGGCACACATAAATGCCCCGGCAGGCACCGCCTTGGGGACCACTGCTGTACTGTATCTTGCTAATTCATGACAGCCCACTGAAATCATTGGAAAGGTTCCCAGTGGGAGCAGGCCTTACAAAAATTCCCTTCATAGTTGATGACCAGATTTTATTTAAAATAAAATAAAACTGGCCTATAAATCAGAAACAGAACTAAACATGGCCTGATCTCCTGGCTTAGCTATATACTCCAGCATTTAAACTGTTTCACCTTTATGTACTGGGTGCTTTCCCATAATGTGCTGGCTAGCACAGTGGAGCTGTGGTAGTGGGAGGAGCATTGTGCCCCAAATATAGGCCAGAAGTGGCTTATGGTACTTCCCCCTAGATGAGGGGTTGTTAGATCCACTGAGAGCCTCTTTCACTTGCTTTCCAAAAACCTCAGTTTGCCTCTGAAATATATGTCTGTACTGACACCTGCATTCCTGACTACACATTGCAATACACACTTCATCACTGGCTTGGTTACTTTCCAGGAACCAGACCCTGTAAGCGTACAGCCTGCTTTGTTCATGTATAACCTGAGCTCGACATTCCAGGTTTGTTGTGTCCATTGTCCTTAGCACCTGCCTATCTTAGCTAGACTGACTCCAGCCTATTCCTTTTTATGCCCTTATTTGCAATTTATTTTCCCATTCACCATGCCAGCTAAGACGTGGGAGCTGACTTGGGTCAAGTTACTCATGTCAAATTAGGCCGACAGGGAGACGTGGGGAGTTGTGATGCTCAAATCACAGTTTCTTGCCAGGCCTGCTCCTGGGGCAGCACACTCACATGCTGCCATTTCCCAGAGGAGATGGTAAACTAGCAGCCTAAGCCACAGTTAAATATTACTTCATGTGAGTCAAAGAGGTAGAACTGGCCCTTTATTAGCATCTGGTTTGCAGCATTTGCTCTAAACCACATTGGCAATGTTTCCTGGCAAATAGTTGAAAAGGACAAGGCATTCCAGCCCTACCTCCCTCACTCGGCTCCTACCTCCACCCTTATTTGCTTTTTCTGTTTTCAGTGACCAGCCTCATCAAGCTCCAAGTTGCATGCATGGCTGATCAGTTCTGGAGCCCACCTGCTGCAAGGGTGCAATTTGCATAGCTTATTTCAAGGTAATTTTGAAATAGCTTGTTTCAAATTTTGGCGCTGTCTACACAGCACCAAATTTCTAAATAAAGAGCTATTCCGAAACGTCCCTTAACCCTCATGGAATGA